TTCATTGTGCAAGCATTTGACTAGCCCTCAGAATTGCTAGAAACACATTAAAAGCCATTTGTATAAAGCCATACATTAAGCACTAACACACACACAACATTTATTAGCTTAACAGATCACCTGCATTAGTGTGAATACTATAACATGCATTTAAGTTCAGCCACACATATTCTAAAACAAATTCTTTAAAAGAAAGAAAAATTCTTTAAAAAAGTAAAGATTTAAATAATGGATTTAGGTAGCCCAGCAGTACATTTCGTGGGCAAAATAGGCATGTGGGAAAAATAAATTTTTTGTTCAAATGGACCTTGTATCCAAATGAATAAAAACCATTTATGGTAAAACATATATACATGTGTAAGATTAAAAAAAAAAAAAATGTGAAAGCAAACTTCTAATTTTAATTGGTTATAACCTCTTTTACTTAATTTGGGGACTTCAATTCTCTATCTTAAAAATAGCACTATAAGTCTAAACTGCATCATTTAAATTAATCGTGTGATCCTACATAACGTTTAATGCAGATACCTCTTGCCCAATCACAAAACTGTAAACCAAAACTTTTTAAACTCAAATTGAAACTTTTAACTCCCTCACTTCTTAATCAGAATTGATATGTCACTTTTCGCTTCAACTTCAGTGTTGCATGGATGGTTTGCTATGCTTGCTCTTATCGCCATATTCTCAAAAACGTAAATGTTCTGGAAATAGGCACGACTGGAATGCCACATGAATCTTGGCCACAAATGTGAATTTAAATAAAAAAAAAAAAAAAAAAAAAAGGAAATTGATCCAGGATTGGATTACATGCTACTAACCTCTATGGAACATTTATTTCTCAGTTGAATTCTGTAAAATAGTATTCACAAAAAGTCAAATAAGTGTCTTCATTCTTCTGCAAGTCCAAAATACAAAAGTTTGAACGTGTCGTGAAAAGAAGTATTGGATATTTAGTATTTCGGCCACCTCAACAATAATGGGTAAAATAAAAAGAAAGTGTTCATCACTACCGGAATTCTGAATCAAGTCATGGTCATTGTAACATCAAAATATGGTGCACGAAAATTTATTTTTAACAGCATTATAGGCAATGTGTTTTTCAACAAGTATGAAAGTGATTTAAAGGCATCTTTGCAAGTGCTTATCTTATTTGAAAAGTGAAATATTATCAAAAGTGGTATCAAATTGTGATTTATTTCTAAGGTTCCAAATTAAATGCTTAGAGTTGACGATATTGAAAAAATGTGTTTTAATCTTGCATGCTAATTTTTTCCCCCAGTTTCTCTCCAATTGCCCATCATTATAAATAACTTTTTCAATAATTGGTTACATTTTGAAATCTGAAAATATAATGTAGAACTGCTTTATGAAAATATCAAATTAAAATGTATAAGTTTCTAAAATTTTATTTAGGGAAGATTATTAAATTTTATTGTTATCAGTAAGTATAAGTTCTGTAAAAAATTTTGAATTAATGTTAAGAATTTTGGAATTATCTTGGCAATAAGATTATTGTTTAAAAATATGAATTTTAAGAATTTCCTAATTATTTTGAGAATGATGTGCATATGAAAATATAAATGAAATAATTATTAAATTGGAGATTAAATATTGGTAAGATTAATATACAAATACCAAAGATTTAAGAAATTGAATAATCGTAACAAAATTTACATGAAAATTTAATTAAAAGTAAAATGCATTAAAATTTGTTTTGAATTATGGTAAATGGATGCAATAATTTTCAATAACTGTACTTAATAATATAAAGTATGTTGAGGGAGTACTGGTTCAGAAACAGAGGCCTATTTTACCTCTGCCTAATTGTTCCTTTTAACCTCGTCATATAATATAAACTTTGAAGGCTCCCACTTTATTTAAATTTTTATACAGGATTTTTATTTTTTTATATAATATTTTTTTTTAAGTGGAATGTATAGTGCAGTTCAAAAAAGCCAGCTGTCTTTAAACAAGGAACAGAGGCCTTTATAAGCAACTGTCAAAGCAATCCTTAACCACTCATGAAAATTTAGTACATGAGTTTGTATGGTTATGCCCAAATAGCTGGATATGTGTGTACTAGAAGAAAGCTGTGGGGTCTTCTAGTTTGTGTAAAATAACAAAATTGTAAAATGTAATAATGAAAGTAAAAACCATAATTTCAATAATGCTATTACAAATGATGATGTGTTATTTATAAAGGTAAAAATTAGTATGGTGTACAATTTTAAGATTTATGATTATTCATAATAATTAATGGGTATATAAAATTTTTATAACTGTGATATAGTGCATAAAAATTTTTTGAAATCTTTTCCTGAAGTATCAAAATTGTGATGTGAATGTTCCAGAAACAAGAACTTTTTACAGATTGGACTTAAATCTTAATAGGACTCTAAAAATGTGCAATTATTCTAAAAGAATATAGTGCTTAAATTGATTTTATTACTGAATTCAAAATTTTATGACTTAAAATACTTTAATTGTTCACAAGTTAATTTTATGTTTTGTATTTTCAAAATTATATTTCTCGTATTTTGTGGTTCTAATACTTTTTCTCTCAAAAAGGCTTCTTTATCAATCCATTTTTTTTCTTTTTAAAAGGTGGAAATGTGTAAGATAAAAAAAGTACGAAAGCAAACTTCTAATTTTAATTCACTATAACCTCTTTTATTTAATTTGGAGACTTCATCTCCTTACCTTAAAAACATCGCTATAAGTCTAAACTGCATCATTCAAATTAATCATGCAATCCCACATAACCTTTAAAGCAGATACCTCCTAACCAATTGTAAACTAAAATCCAAACTATTTTACAAACACCATATTGTAAACCAAAACATTTTTAACACAAAATGAAACTTTTGACTCCCTCTCTTCTTAATCTGAATTGATGCGTCACTTTTCACTTCACTGGAAATAGGCACAATTGGAGTGACAAGTGAATTGTGGCCACAAATGTGAATTTAAATAAAATAGGAAATTAATCTGGCTCGACTTGTTCCTCTTTAATATGGATGAAGTATCTATGCTAAGCAACATTGCTACGCTTCTACATCTCAGTGTTCTTACATCAGTGCTTCCAAAAAATTGTGCTTTCATTACATATATATACATTTAATATTATGTTTTCCAAATATATTACATGACATTAGGAAACACTTTCAATATGTCAATAAAAAATTTAAAAAGTAGCGACCAAAAACAAGCTTTCTTTTATGTATGGTGGTGCTCAATGTGTACAATTCCCCTTTTAGTACACTACAAATACCATAAATTTTCATAGCATTAACACTAAAACACAATTCAGCTAACACTTTTTGAACCACCAAGTCTCATAGCTGATTAACAACTAACTTGTCCTAATGAGCCATATTTATATAGCAGAGCACAAGCTTCTGCAAGCTTTAGAAAAAAATATTCATAGGGTTTCAAAAGTCTGTTTTCATGAATCCTCCAAAAAGATGTCAAGATGGAGAGAAATCACTAAATGTCACAATCCTTGAGACCAAAATTGTACTTTGTCCATATCCAGTGAACTAACTACTTTTGCAATTTAAACATTGTTGCACTTAAAATTGAAATATCTATAATTATATATAATAAATGAATATTCATATACAAAACATGTGGCCAGAAATAAAATTACATACAAAATAAATCCTAAAACAATTATCTTAAAAGAAACAACGACCAACTAAAACAACATACAACATTACAGCACAGAAAAAACCCTTTACAGATATATATTTACAACATATAATTTCACTATGAATAATATTACACCAGAGCAAAACTAAACAAGTTTTATTGCATTTTTATCTTGTTTATATGCTCAACTAATATGATTTTTTTATCTATTTTCACTTAATAGTTATTTCTCTAAAGTAGTAATTGTCTTTCGCCATAACTACATCTTGTTCAAAATAATTAATTAAAAAAATATTAGTAGTTTTTTAATATTGATTGTGATTTTAAATCTTATTGGTATAATATGTATGAAAATTAATGCTTGCAAAGGAAACTGAAATTTATTAACTTTTTCTTACAGCTCGTTAGTGTGAGTTAACAAAAAACTGCTTTCCCAATGGAAAGAAAAAAAAAAAAAAAGAAAAAAAAACGCAAATTGTTGGGCTAAATATATAACACAAAATGGAGATTACATTATGGAAAAAAAAAAAAAAAAAAAAAAAAAAAGGTGTTTACCCCAAAAAATGCTTAACCATTTTTTATCAAACGGCCCTTTAGATTACAAATAAGGTAATTAGGTCCTTAACAAATTTTTACATATTTAATTACATGCTTCTTTTGCATTCACTACTTTTATTAAAACATATGCAGATGATTTGATTTAGTTACAGCCATAATGATAGTTGAAATACTGAATACACCAGTTAACTAACCAATAAAATAAGTTGTAAATTTAAATTAATAACAGTTTGACTTTAACAAAATTCCTATCCTTTATGAAATGTGGTCTTATGAAATATTTACCAAGCTAACTATTTATATAAAAAACACATCATATGAATCATGCATTATACATACAATATTTTTTGCAGTACTTTTTTTAACTCCATAAATAAATTTTATTTTGTGACACAAACAAATTAAAATAACCTTACACTAAAAAAATTGCATCCTTTATGTATATAATTTGCTCTGGTATGATATAAATATACGCTTTTAATTCAGTCCATCTTAAAATATTTTTACATTGTATTTATAAATTCAAATAACTTTATACTACATTAAAAGACTATGTTTCATATAGTTCTTCTAGTATAATTTTGCTATAAATTTTTTTAGTCTGTCTTGAAGCATTTTTAATTTTGTTACATTTCTGTAAATACCTTCTATTTATAACACAAAAATGCATACTTTATAAATAATTTGTAATATTATTTCTTATTTAATATATCTAAAATTATCAAGAGTTCATTCTGAATTAGAAATTTATTGCCTTTTTTTTAATAATGTAGTTAATATAAATGCCTTACTGGAGCAGTGCCAACATAACCATCTTCTTTTGTGTTATTAATTGGAAATGTTCCTTGCCAAATATTCATGTAATGCTGATCTCTGGGCATTTGCTTATTGCCCCATGGAAATAACCTACAAATTTATCAGTGCCTTTTATTATAAATCAAACAAAATACTGCATAACAATAGAGTACTTAGCTGTGTTTACAAATAAAACCAAAATCTGTCAATCAAGTTTTTAATCATGTTTTTCTGTTATTTTCCAAACAGCATATAAACTGTAAAATATTCTGCAAACTCAATATTTCCCCTCTAAAGTAAAAAATTCTTTTTGGTATTAAATCACAACAAATGTTGCCCCTTGGATGGGGGAATACCAAAATATCTTAAAACTATACTCTCCCTTTTTTTCAAACTGATAAACTGATTTCTCTTATTACAATTTCTTTAAATCAAACTTCTTGAATAATCAGCTTTCTTTTTTCCTAACATGAATGTGATGGCATATAAAAAGATTGGTTACAAGAATATCTCTCAGTTTTACTTTACTAACATTAGTGTATTATTTAAATGCATGATATTTCAAAAATATTTCAAGATATCAACCCCTAGCCTACCACAGACCTCATAATCATCTAATAAAACTATTACTCAAATAATAATAATAATAATTCTAGAAATGATATGCTCTCATTTAATTTAAAACATAAATAGAATAACTATATTAATGATAGAATTGAGGTTTCTTAAACTTTTTTCAGTCGGGACCCCTTTTTATCACTGAGATTTTTTCGTGACCCCCAGGACCCCATAATATTTACAAAATTTTGTGGGATCCCATAAGTATTGGGCAAATCCGACACATGACTGAGTGAAACTGTCAATTTTACACTTGTACTGTAATATACTATTGTAGTTTTAGGTCATTAAATTTAATTTCTAATTTTAAGACATAGAACAATGTGAAACTTTTAAATAAGTAACAGATGAAATGACAGCGTCATGTGCAAAGCAAGGAAAATGAATGTTTATACAGTCAAAAGTCGTTAATCCGGACTCGTCGGGACTTCGCCGATTCCGGATTATCGATTTTTCCGGATTATAGATCATCAGTTTAAATCTGGTAAGATGGCAGTCAGAAATTATAAAATTAAAAATATGAAACCGTAATTTATGAAATAAAGAACAATTATGATCTAAAGGGTATCAAAATTTACAAAAAAAAAAGCTTAATATTTATTTGTTTACTTTATTAAACATTTCTTTCAAAGCGTGCATGCGTAAAGCATAAAAGCATACATTACGCATAGTCGTAATTAGAAAATTGCAACCAGAAAACTATTTGATGTGTATTCGTGATATTTATAATGAATTTGATTTAAATCATATAAAAGACAGAGTACATCGAGATGAAATACTACATTTAGTAATGAACTATAAGCCGAAAGCTATAATAGAATAAAAACATCTTGCCCTGAAGATATGGATAGTGCTGACAGATCAACTTCCAGTTCATTGCGCGCCGCAACGTTTCCCTCCCCCGCAGAGCAGCGTAAAATTGATAAACAGATTTCGGAATGGTTAGAAAAACAAAGGATATGCCTTTATTTATTTATTTTTATTTATTTATTTTTTTTTTTTTTTTTGCAGCAATTCCACTTTTTGTTTAATGGACTTCGAAACATACTTTCGCTTTGTAGATCCTTTACATATTAGTAAATATATATCGGAAATTCTATTTGACATAATCGAAAGTTCAAGCTTACTTTTATAAAATTGCTCTAACAGTCTGCAAAAAATAATAAGCTGGATCCAATTCGAAGATTAAGGAACAACGCAATCTGCAACATTAACTGAATTAGATAATTTTAGCTTAGCTTATACCGTCTGTTATACATATTCCTTTCCATTTACAATATGAATTAGCATCATTCCAAGAAACATGAATAACTGGATGGTCCATACTAGATCATTACAATCCATTTAATTTCTATCAATTCTGTAGTATTTAATTACATTAAAATGCACGTTCATAGCTACTAAGATTACAGCAGTGATTAAACGCTCATGCATAAACGTATTATGCGCATGCGCACAAGCATATTCGGAGCCGTAAAGGTCTTACGCGCATGCGTCAACGCGACGCGTGCGCAGAAAGTTTGTAGCTTTGAGGTCCGGATTATAGATCATTCCGGATTATGGGTGTCCGAATTAACGACTTTTGACTGTATTATAAAAAGAAAATGCGTCGAAACATTTTCATAAAATGCTTCTTTCTTTGTCTGCATGGTCTTGTCTTTATCTATTTTCAGATACAGTGTGTAAAAATATTTGATAATTATAAAATTATTATAATAAGAAATATAAAAATTCTAAAATTTTTGGCGACTCCTTGCTGCATGCCCCGCGACTCCCTTGGGAGTTGCAACCCACAGTTTAAGAAACCCTGAGATAAAGGATATTGATAAAATGCTTAATGCACAGATTAAAATTATAGATCCAGAATGTGGAATTGTCTTAATAATAATGACAAATGATTAAAATTTTAAAAACAATTATTAGAATAAAATCTATGATTAAAGCAACAAGAAACAGTGTAATATTCATCAATTTGCAGGACTAACTTTTGAAGGTTTAAACACAGAATCTTCTTCACTAGCAAAAGTGAATATATTACTTCGATTATTCTTGTTTCTCCAATAATCATGATTCAGCATGTTTTTTTTAACAAATTTAACAATGTGCAAATAAAATCTATGGCCCCCCAGGTCATAGTTTTGCTGATCAATGTGCTCAAAATAAATATGCTATTTGTGTATTTTTCTTTTTCCAAACCCAGATTATAATAAACAGAAAATGTACAAGATAGTAACACAATAAGGATCCTATTAGTGCTTACTGAGAACTGCAAGAGTACGGTATACCAGCCACAAATAGCAATTCCTTAAAAAAAGCGCAGAGAAGGGACATGTATAGGCTAATTACAAGTTTCTTTAGGAAAATTTAATGATATTAATAGTTCATCAGAGGCAAAGTGACTCAAAGACATAATAATAGTTTTCTATCCAAAAACTCTGCATAATACCACATAAATAAAAAATTTCCTAACCATCAAAATAAGCATGCTATGATGCACCTTTTCCTTTCTTTTACCTAAAACTGTATGGATTTTGAATAGATAAATTTTTTTAAAATTTTCTTCCTTTTATTAATATCAGTTTTGAGAAGATGTATTTGGCAGGATGTTTTGAGTCTCTAGACAGAAAGATAAGTTTGAAAATTACATAAGCGGAAAGAATGCTATATTTTGAATCTTCTACTCTGACAGAAGCCCCATCTGGAAAAGCAGTTAATCACACAAGATAAAGTAACCTGCATGCCTTTACAAATTTCATTGTTTCACCAATGATAAGATGAAAGATCTATTCTTCCTGTTCCTACCATTCTAATCTATTGGTTCAACTCCATACAGCACCATTGCCTAAGCTTTCTTGTATACTTACTGTTTTGATTCTGGAAGATTACACTGCCCATATTTTGTGTTTCTACATTTTATACAAAATTTTTTATTACATTTTTCTTTCTTTTAATACATTACAATAATTTCGTATTTCATGTTATTCAGTAACTTTGTTTTGGAAATATTAAAATACTTTCCTGGTATATTTAATAGTAACTATTTCTTTGCATTATTTTATCTTTCAAAAAGTTTCATAAAATGGATAACAAAAATATCTATACTTTATAATTTCATACAATGATTAAAATTGCTTAAATCTAAGAAGAAAGTTTCAAATTATTTTCCTAATGATTTCGTCTAAACACTTTTTGATTCAGCAAAAGAAAAATTACCTATTGTGTAATCCTGATCGACATGCATATTCCCACTCAGCTTCAGTTGGCAGTCGCATTTCTTTCCATTTACAATATGAATTAGCATCATTCCAAGAAACATGAATAACTGGATGGTCCATCCTAGATCATTACAATCCATTTAATTTCTATCAATTCTGTGGAATTTAATTACATTAAAATGCACGTTCATAGCTACTAAGATTACAGCAGTGATTTTACAAGAAAATAATTTCATATCACAAATGCATATTATAAAAAATACTTTTTTCCCTCTAAATTTCATATCATTTATCTTTATTAAAAATGCCATAGATAATTTAAACTGGATAATTAATCCAGATCAAAATGGTCTTAATATGATAGCTTGTTGCCTTTGCTTTAACTATATTCTGAATTACATCTTGCATAGCAGCAAAACTTTTATTTGGGACTTGCATATTATTGCAAGTACCTTAGTAGAAGTTGCCAAATTTTCAAAATATGTTAAACTCTGACAAACATGATCATAACTATTCTTCATGCTCCTAACAATCCTTCAGCAAGCAACATTGTAGGGTTTTCCTTATTTGCATAACAAATTTATTTTAAGTTTTCCTGTTCTTAACTTCTCCTCGCATTTTCTCGCCAGGATGTAAATTTAAAGTGAAATGTTATTTAAACGTGTGATTATCTCAGTTTATTCAGAGCGTGTTTCACTAATGAAGCGCAGGTTTCGTTGTTATTTCGCGGTCATGCTAGTAAACCTCTTGGCCTTATATCAGTTTAGTATCACGCCGGTTAGATTTCTGTGAGTCCACCCCTTAGGCGTAATTTTAAGGGCGTTCTTGCACTTGTTTATTTTTCATATTTGATTTGTATTATAGTGGACGTTTAAATTACTGCCGCAAGTGAACGGTGTTTTGTAACGCACGAAGTCCGTGCTTTATCGCCAAATCCAATAGCAGCATCTGCACATTGCCAAGAAAAGTGTTACATAAGTGCTACCTTAAAGTCATGTACGCATGTATACTTGCGTGTCGATCGAGTAAAGCCACCTCCGTGCCAACCATATACAGGTTCGCATAAAGTCCTTTCTAGAACGAACAAAACTTTCACAATTGATATTAACGGACTGAAATCTACTGTGTCTATAGACCGTGTGAAACCAGCCTATTTGCTTTCGGACTCTAATTTACCTGAACTGAAAACAAATAAAGACTTAAAGACAGTTCAGCAGAATAAATCTGCAAACGAAATCTCTAAGACACAAACTGTCACCAGATCGGGAAGACATGTTCACTTCCCTAAAAAACTTGCTTCTTACATAACAATTTAAAACATTTTTTTTTTTTTAAATTCATATCGTAACATATTTTTTGTTATTTCATGTTTATTATACGTGTCAATACCTTGTTATATATTGAATTGCACTTTGATCTTTTCTAATTTTATATTCTAATTTTGTAATCATGAAAAAAAAAAAATACCCGACAGTACGGATACCTCTGAGATAATTTCATAACCTGATGTCGTTCCTTTGAATAGCCATTAAAGGAACTGGGGGGAAACTCTGTGGTGATGGCGATAAGGAGCGCGCCTTGCGCCCTCCGATAAGTCTGGCAACCCTACAGGAGAAGTTTCTTACGTAGCGAGAGAGCCAAATAGGCCGGCTGTCGGGCAGTGTGCGCGATGTTCCGAAATAAAGCTTAATTTTTATTGTGCACTATGTCTTGTTAATATTTATATTAATGCAGTAAGAACATAATTTGTGATATGGAATTCGAGGATTGGTGGTAAAACATATAGGAAATCACCATAATGGTAACCCTGTGTTAAATCAAGCCCGTATGAACAGTTCTCAAGCACTTTCGGTTTTGACTACAAGCCATCACTCAAGATCTCCAAACCAGAAGTAATGGATTACATCGGTTTTCATCCTCCGAATCACAGATGAGTAGTAATTATAGATCATTTTATAATTCTGTTTTCTACTTATCATTTAATTTCATTTTCTTTAGTTAAGATTTTTGCTTTTATTTTGGCTTAAAAACCTTGCACAATGTCTGATGTTCATGCCGTCCAAATTCCGGTTTATAACTGATCAGACCCATTTTTATGGTTTATTATGTGTGAAAGTACCTTTGCTCTTGCCACCCCCAAACCTATCACAGAATCCATTACTAAATATAATTATGTAGTTGCTCATCTTCCTCCAGATATTGCATCATTAGTGCGGGATTTACTTATGAAACCAGACCCTATTGATCCATATGCAAAGCTTAAAACTGAATTAATAAATCGTTCGGGAGAATCTTCTCAGCAAGAAATTCGCCAATTATTATCTGGAGAGGAATTAGGCTCTCGAAAACCTTCCGATTTGCTTAGAAATATGAAACGTCGAGCAGAATCTTTAAATGTTCCTGATAACTTAATGTTAGAATTATTCCTTCAACGTTTGCCTTCGACTGTTCAGTCTATTTTGGCAGCGGTTTCCAATTTAACTGTAGATAAAGCTGCAGAAATTGCCGACAGAATTTTAGAAGTAAATCCAACCCCAGGGACTTGTGCCGTTTCTCGCACAGTCAATCAGTCTTTTGAGGATAAATTATTTAAACAAATAGAAAAATTAAACAAACGTATTGATCGCATTTCTCTTTCTCGTGGTCGCTCGCCAAATCGCGGAGATCGCAATAAGGAAAGAAGCAATTCCAAAAGGAGAGATTATTCTGTTTGCTGGTATCATAGACGTTTTGGGAAAAAGTGTAGAGAAGACAAATGTACAAAACCTTGTTCATGGCAGGGAAACGAAACCAGCAAAGAATAGAGGCGACTTATTCTTTGCCTCAAGTTTCACGTCGCCTGTTCGTTCGTGACCGTAGAACAAACCTTTCATTCTTGGTCGATACCGGCTCTAACGTGTCCTTACTTCCAGCAAATAATTCTCAAAACGGAATTCGTCCCAACAAACGCTTTTCGCTGCTAATTCTTCCACTATTCATGTTTATGGTCTAAAAACACTTTCTTTGGATTTCAAATTAAGACAACAGTTTACATGGACTTTTCTTATAGCAAATGTTAGTACACCCATTCTTGGAGCAGATTTTCTCCATTTCTTTGAATTGGTGCCTGATCTCAGAAACAAATGTCTCAAAGATTTAAAAACGCATTTTAAAACCGTCGGTTGCGTGAAAAATGCAAGCATTTATTCAGTAAAAACTGTATTTAGTGATACACCATATCACAAAATTTTAAAAGAATTTCCTTCAGATACTAGATTACCAGATCCTAACCAACCTGTTAAACACAACACCGTTCATTATATCATAACTAAAGGTCCACCTGTGGTTGCAAAACCTCGTCGGTTAGCTCCAGATCGCTTAAAAATAGCAAAACCAGAATTTCAAACTATTATACAATTGGGGCATTTGAGACCTTCGAGCAGCAATTATGCATCCCCACTTCACATGGTTCCAAAAAAGGGAAGTATGGAATGGAGACCTGTAGGAGATTATCGAGCATTGAACGCTCAAACAATAAAAGACAAATATCCTATTCCATGCTTAGCCGATTTTACTGCTGCATTGCACGGTACTAAAATTTTTAGTCATGTCGACCTGATTAAGGCATACCATCAAATACCAATTAACCCAGCCGACATCCACAAAACCGCCATATGCACACCATTCGGTTTATTCGAAAGTACCCGTATGCAATTCGGCTTATGCAATGCATCCGCGACTTGTTCAACGTTTTATAGATGAAGTCACGCGGGATTTAGAAGGTGTTTACGCTTTTGTCGATGACTTGCTCATAGCCTCTAAAGATTCTGAGGAACATTGCAGGCATTTGAAAGCTTTATTTTCCAAACTTCAGGAATATGGACTTTGCATAAATGTTTCAAAATGCACCTTTGGTCAAACGTCTATTGATTTCTTAGGCTTTCACCTTAGTGAAAACGGAATTGAACCTCTTCCTGACAAAGTCAAATGTATTTTAGATTTTCCTCAACCTACCACTCTCACTCAGCTTCGCCGATTTTTAGGCATGTTTAAGTTTTACAGATGTTTCATACCTAAAGCAGCACATATTCTTTCTCCTTTAATAAAATTGTTAGAAGGCTATATTAATAAAAAGAAATCTCGTTCTAGTGTTCAGGATTCATCCCCACAATTAAATTGGAACGAGAATGCTGAACAAGCCTTTATTGCTGCCAAAAATGCCATTGCTCAGGCTACCCTTTTGAGACACCCTATTCCCGGAGCCCAGCTAAGCATCTGGGTAGATGCCTCAGACGTAGCAATAGGCGGCACACTTATGCAGTTTGTCTCAACAACATGGGAACCTATAGCATTTTTCTCTATGAAACTCAATAAAAGTCAACAGAAATGGTCCGCGTACGATAGGGAAATTATTTTCAATTTATTCTGCAATTAAGAAATTCCGACACATGTTAGAGGGCAGAAATTTTTTAATTTATACGGATCAAAAACCGTTAGTATATACGCTTTTAAACAGAACCCTCATAAATGTTCACCTCGACAATTGCGCCATTTAGATTTTATTTCTCAGTACTCTACTGATATTAGACATGTGCAAGGTTCAAAAAACGTCGTTGCTGACGCTCTTTCAAGAATCGAAATTGACTCCATAACAAAATCTCCATTTTTGGATTTTAAAAAACTTTCGGAAGCTCAACGGCATGATCCGGAGGTACAAGACCTTCTCAAAAACAACACATCATCTTTGAAACTGGAATTTAAACCGTGCCAATATTCTGATGGTAATATTCTTTGTGACATATCAACGGACATTCCCCGCCCATTTGTTCCGAATTCCTTTCGCAGACTCATCTTTAATCATCTGCATAATCTGTCACATCCAGGAATTGCAGCTACTACGAAGCTTATTTGTTCTCGTTATGTATGGCCCGATATGAAACGTCATATCAAAAATTGCGTGAAATCCTGTGAATCTTGCCCAAATCGAAAATTACTAGGCATACTAAAGCATCACTGGGCACATTCTCTCTTCCTGATGCACGTTTTTCAGAAATCCATATGGATATCGTCGGACCGTTGCCTCCATCAGAATGCAACGTGTACCTTTTGACTCTAATAGATAGATTCTCCAGATGGCCTGAAGCCATTGCCATCCCGGATATG